ACCAGATCGCATATTCGGAATTTTCGCGCTTTGACCCTCCTGTTGTATAGTTGGGAAATCTTCTCTTGATACTTAGTTATCCTTNACATTCCATGGTCGCATTGATATCACTTTGTAAGGCCCTTCCCAGTTAGGTCCCATTTTTCCCTCTGTTGGATCATGGGTATTGGTCGTTATCCTTCTGAGGACCAGATCGCATATTCGGAATTTTCGCGCTTTGACCCTCTTGTTGTATAGTTGGGAAATCTTCTCTTGATACTTAGTTATCCTTAGGGCGGCTGCCTCCCTTCTTTCTTCCACTAGATCCAACTCCAATCCAAGTTGACGGGCATTCCCCCCTTCGTCGAAAGCTTGGGTCTATCCGGGGGTCATCCATTCCTGGACGCCCGGACTGTAATTGCTATTTTTCCATAATCTCTTCCGGTGCTCGCCCCTTCTCCTGGAGTCTAACAGGGCTCTGAGGTCGATTTCTTCCCTGACGGGATGCCTTCTGAAGTCCCTGAGTTCATCGGTAAACCCCTCATTTCCTGGGCGTCGTGTGGATTGGGTTGAGTCCTCCTCGAATTCATCTCCCTTCCTCCGTCTAGACAAACCTCGCCGGAGGTCGTCCAGGGCCAATGGCCTTGCTTTCCTTGAATGGTTGTCATGATGATGTTCGCCGGCTCTGGGTCGCTTTGGGGCCCTAGAGCTTTCTGCTTTGTGGTCTAGGTGGTTTCTTAGATCCTTCGTTTCCGCCTNAGTTGTCATGATGATGCTCGCCGGCTCTGGGTCGCTTTGGGGCCCTAGAGCTTTCCGCTTTGTTGTTTAGGTGGTTTCTTAGATCCTTTGTTTCCGCCTCCCGGGCGGGAAGCCCACGGGAAAGGAATGAATCCCTCGTCCCTCCGCCAGAGGCGGCAAACTCGTCGAGCCGGCTTAGGACGTTTACATTGTCCTTTTTCAGCTGACGTAATCTATCGCCAAATTTTTCTTCAATCACCTCCGCCAGCTGACGAGCCAAGGGGGCTGATCCCCCTGACCTGATTCCCATACTGGTTTGAGGGGTAACCCCTCTTGACCGAGTAGAGGCACTTTTATTCATATCGGTGTGATCCCTCCCTCCGTGATGACAGGGAGCTTGTAACTCGAGACTCCTTTGGTGGGGGTCTTTCCCTTTCTGTCGAGTGTTCACCATGGTCACTGTTCTTTATAGAGAAAAAATTAGGAAAACTAGTCGTTTCCCACAGACGGCGTCAGATTGTGCGTGCAAGATCCTGCACAATATAAAAAACGAGAACAGATCTCTCCCCTGGTGAACTTCAAGTGAGCCAGCTGAGTGACCAACCACGCTGCTGGGACAGCCTGCGAGGTCCGGTGGTAACCTGGAACAACAACGGGAGACCCTGGGGGAACGGAAAAACGATCCAGTAAGCCTAAAAGGGGTTCCTGGAACAAAGAAGAACAAGTTAGAAGGGCGTCGGAGTGTTTTCTGGCGTATCCCCTCCGACGGTCTAGTCAGTCTTTGAGTGAGAGAGAGGAAAGAGAAAACACTGAGTGTGTATTATAGTAAAGAGTTTGTTGTTGCATACCCGTCTTGCCTTTTACAAGGGGTATTTATACCTCAAAAGCTCATGATTGCTGTCAGTGTGGTCAGTAGGTGATCATTAGGTACAGGCAGTGTGCGCACTGATTCTGATGAGGAATGTCTTCTCTTCTTAACTGCTCGGGGTCCCGAGCAATCAATGCTGGGTCATCGGGATGCCGACGGTACAATGTACTCCTCTCGGGGAGGATGCAATAAATGCTCTGTATTAGGAGCATTTATTGCCTTTCATTTCTGAACCTTACCGCATTGAATGCGGTCTCATCAAGGAAATGGTGCATTTAATTATTTGCTTTCTCATGTCGCGTGTCAGCAACGGCATGCGGTTTTCTGTCTTCGATGTGATATCATACGCCACGTGTCCATCCCCTATTGGTTGTGACACCTGTATTCTTGTACGTGCTGACATTACTTGTGTAAGACGAGGTCATGATGATTAGCCTAGAATAGCCTAGGCTAATGACCTGTACGTCAATAGCTTATCTTGGAGTAGAGGAGGCGTCCTGGACGGGTACACCTCGGCACCGAGGGAAGGATCATCTCGGCACCGAGGTAGGGACACCGACCGAAGTACCATATCAGACCGAGGCCACGTGTCGGTGTAAAACATACTGAATGCATGATCCTATATGCTGAGTACCTCGGGGGCGAGGGCCTTGTGCGCCGATGGTGCTTGATCTTAGCAACAGTGTTTTAGTAATACCGAGGACACGTGTTTTCATCATAGAATATTTCAGAAAAGTCCCATCAATAAGCATTAAGCTCACTTAGCCTTAAATTTTAAAATGTTATAAATGTTTTAGTTTTTTTATTTTTTAAAAAAAGGCAAAGTGATAGCAAATTTTTAAGGACGCGAAATAGGAATATTAATAGGAAAAGAATGACATTAATAGGAATATCCGGGGTATAATTGACTTAATAGATAAAATAACCGTGAAAGAGAAATTAATATTTTAACAACAAATTTCAATATTAAGAAAGTTAAAAATTAAAATACCTTCTTCATGTCTTACTAAAAGTCATATCTCNAAATTAATATTTTAACAAAAAATTTCAATATTAAGAAAGTTAAAAATTAAAATACCTTCTTCATGTCTTACTAAAAGTCATATCTCTAAAGTCTGACGCAATAACATACATGCATATCGAAGTAAATTACATATGCGCACACATTTTATAAAAGGGAATGTTAAGCATGAGCACCATCATGAATGTAGATATTCAAGAATCATCTTACAACTATATTTTATCCTAGTGTGTACTCGAAGGGGGCCGCCGGGGGGGTGGGCATTGCATCCATGACCCTATGCAGTCATGATGTTCCACGGCATCCTAGTCTGTAACTCTTCTACCTCGATGACTGCCCCTACCCTCATAGATTGAACCTGTTTGAGAATCGAGTTCAGCCTGTATCCTTAAAATGCCACATTTGCCTAATTAATACTCGGGACACTTGGTGCACATTGCACGAGCTTTGTACAAAAGTGGCAGAGGTGGTTCAAGTTAAGCACAGTGTCCGCAACAAAGGCAACTGGGGATAGCCTATATGGGCAGTCTGGACTGTCCGAGTACTTGTACTAAATATACCGCCATTACTCACCCCCACAGTATATTGAGACGTAAAGATGGAAACAGAGACCCATTGGAATCCTTGTTCGAGCTGCATTCAGTTGCCTTCATCATTCACCCTCAGTCCAAACGTGGTCATCCGATTGGGGAGGATGAATTCAGTTGCCTCCATTTTTTGAGTATCATTTTGCCCGAATATCGGGTCTTAGGCAATTCGAGTTCTCTCATCTCAACCATTTTTCTCACTTATTCTTATTGTGAACCATACATCGGACCCGTTTATTGAACTCTACTTTAAGNAAGTTCTCTCATCTCAACTATTTTTTTCACTTATTCTTATTGTGAACCATACATCGGACCCGTTTATTGAACTCTACTTTAAGCCATTATAGTTATTCTAACGATTGACATTTACAAGTAATTTGTTGTAGAAAAAAATAATTATCTCAAATTTATAAGATTTTCAGGTTTTGAAGATCAAAATGAAAGATTAAATCGTCTCGTTAACCTTTTTTACCACTAAGACTATTTTCGTGTGGACCGGTGGAGAGTTGCTCAGACAAGGAAGAACAGTGTAAGCTTCCNTCTAAGACTATTTTCGTGTGGACCAGTGGAGAGTTGCTCAGACAAGGAAGAACAGTGTAAGCTTCCTTCCTGGTGGCTTAAGTCAAAGACTGATGTGTGTTTAAGTACAGAATAGCATTGTGGTATTAAAACTTTAAACGATAAAATTCCAACTGACCAAGGTTATTCACAATCGATCATAAAATATTATGATTGATCATTAATAACATANACTAAGACTATTTTCGTGTGGACCGGTGGAGAGTTGCTCAGACAAGGAAGAACAGTGTAAGCTTCCTTCCTGGTGGCTTAAGTCAAAGACTGATGTGTTTTTAAGTACAGAATAGCATTGTGGTATTAAAACTTTAAACGATAAAATTCCAATTGACCAAGGTTATTCACAATCGATCATAAAATATTATGATTGATCATTAATAACATAAACCGTTGTCTTCCTCTAAAATACATATACTTCTAACATGTTCCATCACACTAGGTTTTTTTTTTTTTTTTTTGTACAAAAAATAGATATTCACATAAACCAGTCTGTCAAAAATTATCCCTCAGTACCATGGGAGACAACACCGCACTTATGTCGAGACCGAAACTAAAGTCTCACTGCGTATTTTGGACGCTGAAGAATAAATTTAACCCACCGAGCTACCATAACTATGAAATTCGAANTCTCAGTACCATAGGAGACAACACCGCACTTATGTCGAGACCGAAACTAAAGTCTCACTGCGTATTTTGGACGCTGAAGAATAAATTTAACCCACCGAGCTACCATAACTATGAAATTCGAACCCAAACATTTAGCAANCCTCAGTACCATGGGAGACAACACCGCACTTATGTCGAGACCGAAACTAAAGTCTCACTGCGTATTTTAGCCGCTGAAGAATAAATTTAACCCACCGAGCTACCATAACTATGAAATTCGAACCCAAACATTTAGCAAGAAAATCTAAATTCTTCGCATCATGGGGTTACAATTTATGGTTGTCACTATATCTTTCAAATCTTTTCTACCCCAAGTCAAGTGCAAAGGTAGTAACTTAGACAATGAAAAATAGAGAGAGGGAGACATGCACTGGCGTCCGTAGAAAAAAATGCAAAAAATAGTAAGATAATTCTATCTAAGAGGGAACAATTCAAGCTTCTGAAGCTTAAGAAAAAATAATTATGTTCCTAGAAAACCTTAAAATGAACCTAAGCACAACACCTAATTTTGATATTTAGTAGGAAAAACACTCACGTAAATTGGCGATTTGCAAAAAAAAAAAAATGTCTAACCAGCAAAAATCTTTATATAATGGGCAATGCATTGAAAAAAACAATGTTATATTTGAGCTCAAAACTGAACCCCACAACATACAAGGCAAAACTGTCTATCGCTAGCTGGATAAACAAGTCATAAGTTTTCAGATTTTCCTATTCGATATGAGAAGCCACATCTCCTAGAAAGATAACAACTGATGACACACACAGCCTGAAACAAATTGACTCATGCATATGCAAGAAAGTAAAAGTGCCCAATGCGAGTGCTTTTTAAGCGGCAGCACCAGCAGCAGCACCTTTGCCTTTCTTCCTCTGAAGTTTCCTCATATAAAATTCGAGCTCTTTTCCTTCCAAGATGTAACTGTTACAAAAGTTTGAGAAGTATGATGAGATGGAGCAGAAGAATCACAAAAGTAAAGAGAACGCATTCCGCTTTTATACTCACCCATCAGCTCTGCCACATTGGCCAGGCCTTGAAGAAATGCAAGCCAACAATCTACCAGAGCCAAACTGTTCCTCAATGTGGGGATCAAGCTTGCGTCCTTCCTGGCGCTTCTCAAGCTTCCTGAGGACATGCTTGCTCTTCTTTGTTTCCTCGCCAGTCTCACCCTCCTGCTCGTTCATAAGGCAAAACCAAATATCAACTATTTTGTTCCAATAATCTAGATCATTATATGTTAGCACAAGAAAAAAGGTGATGAATACCATTATTACAGGGGTTGCATTCAGTCCAAGAAGGCAAAGTATACCAAAAGCAAACTTCCAAGTGGCCTCATCACAAGTTACTCCAACTAAACTGTAGAAAGATATTCTCTCACGCAGGCACCCAAAACCCAAATTCATAGTTTGGGATACTACTCAGGATCATGTTTCGAAGGCCCAATATGGAGAATCAATGCAAATGCATATAAGTCACAAACATAATAAATTGACATAATTACATAGAATTATGTGTCTATGATGGACCTAAACACAACACAAGGAAGATACATCTGAAGAGGTTATTGCTCATGTTGCCTTGAATAAGAAATTTGTAAAGTGGACATATTTCATGGAGAACAATTCACCAAAAAAAAAACAGCTCAGCTCTTCAAATGAATGGGAATACTGGACTTTGATCAATTGCGCTTTCTCCCCTGATATGGAGACTACTTCATCTGTAAGTAATACCAGAAACTCACTATTAACAGTGATCCCCCGCAACTGAAGAGGTCTACATACAAGCTCCTAGCAATCAACTGCACTGTTATTACATACTCTGTTAATCAGTTTTTTAAATCTGAATATAAATTTTCCATGGGACTACATTAGATTGAGATGACATAACCATCAAAGGATCCCCCCACCAACACCAACGGCAATAGGGAAAAGATTCAGAAAGAGACTCAATGGGAGGGAAAAAGCTTCATCTTGAAAGGGGAAAGACAAACTACAGTGCAGCCAATCCTATCTGGCATCTGAGTTATTATTTGTCCCTTTTTTAAAACCCTATCAATGTGGCAACCACTATGGAAAGATTAATGAGACTTCTTGTGGAAAGGGACTGCTGAAGGGAAAAAGGGCCATTTGCGGAAATGGGAGATAATTTCTCGTCCGAGGAAAAAGGTACTTGCTAATATTTTGGCAAGCAATACTGCCCTCATGGGGAAGTATTTATGGAGATTCAGTATTGAATTTGATTCATTGTAGCATGTTATCAAAAATTCAAAAGTAAATAAAAAAGACACTATATTCTCAAGTGGTATGATTGGGCAACAGCTAGAGGCCCACAGAAATTTATCTGAGATAGCTTTGCTTCTCTCGTTATCAAAACTTTGCAGTTGGAAAGTGAGAATGAATTTGGGAAGATTGTGTAGAAGAGGATTTTTCGTTTTTCAATGTTATTTCATCATAGTAACGTTTATCCTGTTCTTATAATGTTCCAACTACTCAACAGTGTCTTCCTTTTCATACTCTCTTGGGAGGAATTGACTGATCTTATGTTTCTACATTGGCAGTGTAATCGGGTTTCTACATCTTCAAGTGAGGCAAAGGTTTTGATTGAAATTTGGGGTTTGGTAAAAGCAAGATGCACGTATCATGTGGCGTTGTGTGGAGTTAGCAACCTTTTGAGTTTTATAGTTGTGGGAAAGAAATTACTACTTGGCTTCTTTTGAAGTTTCGATGCCTCCTGATTTTATGAGTATCCCATTATTCTTGATAAGGTGATTTTTACTCCTTTTTTGTACTACTTTGTTTCTGACAAAAAACTACATACTCAGAAAACTGGTTATACACCTCAGATTCTACAAGACCAAAATATCGCACTCACATTTTAACTTCTCTCAAGTTTAAACAAGAGTTAGATGTCTATTCAAAGTTGATTCGGAAAGTGAAAATTCATCAGACCCAATAAGATCATTACATGTCATTCAAGTTTTGACTAATCTACCACGCTTTGACAAGTGTCAGATGTCCAAATGCCTATGTTTTCTGAGGTTTAACAAACCTGTAAAGCTTTGACAAGTGTCAGATGTCCTAATGCCAAGGTTTCAAGATTTCAATGAAAAGTTTACAATGATGGCACCAATGCTACAGTTAAGTAGAAGTAGGACAATATGGAGATCCATTCCGACCTTGTGGACTAATTTTGCATCAAAACAAAAATTAGGTCGGCATACGTTAAATTTACTTGTTAGTTCAATAATCACAAGGACGTAAAAGATATTTCAAAACCCTTATGATACCTCTGTTGCTTCCTTCTTGGTAGCTGCTGCCTTTTTCTTCCGACCAATGTCGACGCCATAGTGCTGAAGGTACCATTGCTTGAATGGGGCAGCATCCACCTGAATAATTGCACTTTTCACCAGAGTTTGTGTCCTGACAAGCTCATTGTTTGAGGCATTATAGACAACATCAAGAATACGTGTTTTGCGGGTGACAGCTTCACTGCCCCAAGAGTAATTTCCAGTGTCCAATCTAAGAGCCCTCCATTTCACATTGCCTCCTCGCACGCGAATTCTCCTGACTGTCTTGTTGCTTGAGAGTTTGGTATTTGCAGGCTGACGGCCAAGCTCATACCTGATAAAGATCATAGAGATGACAATAGGATCAGAAGAAAAAAGTCCATCCTTCATATTGCTTAATGAGGGGATTGAATAACTACATTCTTCTGCATCACAATCACACAAGAATATGGGATCACAACTAAGCCAAACACCGTGATGTCTTCTTTTCGGTAGGTAATAGATTGAAATGTAGCGATTTGTTCGAGGCCATAATCAAAACTGAAAAATAGATTTGAAAGGCACGGAGAATCGCTGTATAGATATTGCCAACCTTCAATGCAAGTGTTTCGTCATCTTTATCTGACGCACCTGCTCTGCTAATTGGCTTCATTTCTCAAAGTGGAAGAAGTTATCAATCATACTAACACAGAAAATCCCTAACCCTGACTATTCAACTCTAGAGAGAGAGAGCAGCTAAAGAATATGGAATCAAAACTAAGCCAAACACCGTGATGTCTTTTTTTCAGTAGGTAATAGATTGAAATGTAGCGAGTTGTTCGAGGCCATAATCAAAACTGAAAAATAGATTTGAAAGGCACGGAGAATCGCTGTATATATATTGACAACCTTCAATGCAAGTGTTTCGTCATCTTTATCTAACGCACCTGCTCTGCTAATTGGCTTCATTTCTCAAAGTGGAAGAAGTTATCAATCTTACTAACACAGAAAATCCCTAACCCTGACTATTCAACTCTAGAGAGAGAGAGCAGCTAAAGAATATGGAATCAAAACTAAGCCAAACACCGTGATGTCTTTTTTTCAGTAGGTAATAGATTGAAATGTAGCGAGTTGTTCGAGGCCATAATCAAAACTGAAAAATAGATTTGAAAGGCACGGAGAATCGCTGTATATATATTGACAACCTTCAATGCAAGTGTTTCGTCATCTTTATCTAACGCACCTGCTCTGCTAATTGGCTTCATTTCTCAAAGTGGAAGAAGTTATCAATCTTTCTAAATTCTAACACAGAAAATCCTAACCCTGACTAAAAAACTGGAGAGAGAGCAGCTGAGAGATTGCTGCTTAGTTCCCTTATTTTGCAAGATGAAAATATATATCCTTCTCATTCGTTTTTCATACTGATAAGTGAAGTCCATCCTGGATTCTTTTATGAAGGTCAAAACCACTATGAAAACAATTTGCATGATTCACTTTTTTCTATGTGGTAAAGACAATTTGGCAACAAAATACACTCGATTGGTGACTTTATTTAACATCTCTGAACAATTCTGCACGTATGTTAGTATTCCTTTTGTTCTAGCTACTGATAATGCATTACCAATAAATCAAAAAACAGGTCAACTTAGTTTCCTCTCTTCTTCCTCGCATCCCCCTCATGATTGTGTCATTTTGATGAATTGATTTTGGGCGACATTGAGATGGAAACTGATATCAAAATGTTTTTCAAGACAATCAAGAATTAAGACATTAACAATTCAACATACAAGGATACCCATTCGATACCAACCATCAATTATTGTAATTTGCATATCTACAACCCCTAGATAGAACAATATTCAAAAACTGATAAAGGGTGGTTGCTGACACACCAGTAAATAAAAGGTCTCCATCAAACAGAAAGCAGAAAGCGAATACAGGAAGCTACTAGAGTTGAGTTTATCACATTTTTGAAACTGAAAACCCATTAAGGAAAAGAAAACATGATATTTAAATTCTCTTTTCTTTTCCATTCGCTCAGCCTTCTCAGAAACCAAACAAAGTAAAGTTGAGGGGTGGGGAGGGGAGGGGTTAATATAATTCTTACTTTCTCTTCTTCCTCCAAGCCTTCTTCTTGCCTCCAGTGGCACGCCTCTTGTGCATCGAGTCTCTTGAGATACCTATAACCACCAGTATACGCCATGAAGGTTAGACAGAGAAGGGGATAAGAGTGTGTGTGTGTGTGTGACAATAAGAGAGACAGAGACAGAGATAAAGAGACCTAAGAGCTTACCCATGTTGGCGCAGCTGTGGAACGAAGATTGAAATCTACTTCTTCGGCGCCTCCCTCGACCTCTCTCTCGTCAAGCTTTTTAGTTCCTCAAAACCCTAATCTATAGACTCGAAGTATGGGTAGTTTTTAGTAACTCAATCTTTTTTTTATTTTCCCTTAAATAAACTCTACATTCTGTCTGTTTTAATTACATGCGAATACATTTAAATAATAAAAAAATTTATTAATATTTTGAATTGTATTTATAATTAAATTAAGTATCGAATTATATTTTAATTATTATTGATATATTCAACCTTGTCATGTTTGGGTTNATTTTCCCTTAAATAAACTCTACATTCGTCTGTTTTAATTACATGTGAATACATTTAAATAATAAAAAAAATTATTAATATTTTGAATTGTATTTATAATTAAATTAAGTATCGAATTATATTTTAATTATTATTGATATATTCAACCTTGTCATGTTTGGGTTGGGTTATCCTTAAATCTCTTTACTCACTCCTATTTAATTTTTTTATTTTAAACTATTAAATTCACTATATCTTCATTAGTTATTAAATCCACCTCATCTATGTTCACTAATTAAAAATTAAATTTATTCAATTTTATTTCAACTTAATATATAGGCAATGATTAAAATTTTATTTTGATATATTATTTGGGTATGAAAATATTTCGGAATCAGATTAAAANTCTCATTCCTATTTAATTTTTTTATTTTAAACTATTAAATTCATTATATCTTCATTAGTTATTAAATTCACCTCATCTATGTTCACTAATTAAAAATTAAATTTATTCAATTTTATTTCAACTTAATATATAGGCAATGATCAAAATTTTATTTTGATATATTATTTGGGTATGAAAATATTTCGGAATCAGATTAAAAATTAATAATTATTTTTAAAATATTAGTCTAAAAATATTCCAAAGATATTAGTGAAAATATCTCAAAACACATCGAATAATATAGATTACCTTTGGAATATTGAAATTTCATTTTAATTACTATTTTTGTTTTGATTTTTTTGATATATATGTAATAGTTTAATTGGACGGATATAAATAGGGTGAACTTAATAACTAATAAGGTGAGTATAGATGAGGTGAATTTAGTAGTTTGAAGTAAGAGGATTAAATGGGGTAGAAAAAAAAATTTAAGGGGGTGGGAATAGATCTTTACCTGTCATATTTTAGGTATCTTTTCGGCCCCTTTAGACATTTCCTCTTTTAATTCTTCATTGTAAAATTGTCATTCTTGNATTTTAATTACTATTTTTGTTTTGATTTTTTTGATATATATGTAATAGTTTAATTAGACGAATATAAATAGGGTGAACTTAATAACTAATAAGGTGAGTATAGATGAGGTGAACTTAGTAGTTTAAAGTAACAGAATTAAATGGGGAGGAAAAAAAAATTTAAGGGGTGGGAATAGATCTTTACCTGTCATATTTTAGGTATCTCTTCGGCCCCTTTAGACATTTCCTCTTTTAATTCTTCATTGTAAAATTGTCATTCTTGAATATTTGCACATCAAATTATTTTTTTCAATTTTATTACATTTTTTGTCAAATAAATTGAGTAGAGAATATAATTTGGCAATTATTACATGTATATAATAGTAGAATATAAATTGAATTTTTCTTTTTTGTAAAAATATAAACATAGATATAGTAAATTATATGTAAGTGAGTATTCANTCAATTTTATTACATTTTTTGTCAAATAAATTGAGTAGAGAATCTAATTTGGCAATTATTACATGTATATAATAGTAGAATATAAATTGGATTTTTCTTTTTTGTAAAAATATAAACATAGATATAGTAAATTATATGTAAGTGAGTATTCATAAATGAGTCTAAAAGAATTTAGAAGTTAAATAGGTATAAAAAATAAAATTTGGATGAAAGTAAAATGTGAAAATAATTGATTTTATAATAATAATTAGGTATAAAATATGAAATCAAGAGTTTTTTCATACATATTGAAAGTCATAAATACTAGTTGGTGTCCATATGTGTTACACGTGAACCATTATGAGTGCTAAATATTTTATATTATTACTATAAAAATTCTNCAAATAGGTATTAAAAATAAAATTTGGATAAAAGTAAAATGTGAAAATAATTGATTTTATAATAATAATTAGGTATAAAATATGAAATCAAGAGTTTTTCATACATATTGAAAGTCATAAATACTAGTTGGTGTCCATATGCGTTACACGTGAACCATTATGAGTGCTAAATATTTTATATTATTACTATAAAAATTCTCAACTATTTTAACATACCAAATTTCAAAAAAAGTTCAAAAGTTTTTTATACTTACTTGACATTTAGAAATAGTATAGAATAATTACTAGTTGATATAGACATATCGCGTATCATTTTGAGAAGGCGATCTCACTTGAATATACATGATATTCGCTCCTTATATTTTTCTTAAATAATTTTTANGTTTTTTATACTTACTTGACATTTAGAAATAGTATAGAATAATTACTAGTTGATACAGACATATCGTGTATCATTTTGAGAAGGCGATCTCACTTGAATATACATGATATTCGCTCCTTATATTTTTCTTAAATAATTTTTAATTTTTTTAGTGTTCTCCAATTTTTCCTTACCAAGCAATAAAACTTACGCTACACTTTTCAAATCGAACTTGAGGTTTAATGGCTAGTTTTGCGTGTTTGCCAAATATATCAGGTTGTATTTTTATTATTTGATCTACCTTAAACTATATTTGATTGTCAAAATAATANGTTCTCCAATTTTTCCTTACCAAGCAATAAAACTTACATTACACTTTTCAAATCGAACTTGAGGTTTAATGGCTAGTTTTGCGTGTTTGCCAAATATATTAGGTTGTATTTTTATTATTTGATCTACCTTAAACTATATTTGATTGTCAAAATAATACTATCATTGTAATACTATGTACGTGTTAAAATTATAAATTGTGAGATGTTATAGTTATCAATTATGAAGGCCACTAAGTTGTAGCATTATTCTAGAATCAAGCCANTACTATCATTGTAATACTATGTACGTGTTAAAATTATAAATTGTGAGATGTTATAGTTATCAATTATGAAGGCCACTAAGTTGTAGCATTATTCTAGAATCAAGCCAAAACTAATGAACTGTTAACTTTCTCTATGTTTTCTTGGAAAAATCTCAATAACTCTTACTTTTTACATTGAAAAAGTACTTAGCCTTATCAATTTTTAAAAGGACAATAAAGCCCTACTCTTACTAAATTATTCTCAATTAGTTCAAAACACCATTAATAATAAACTTTCTATTAATTTTGCCCTTTCTTATTAATATCAACTGAACTTCTAAAATATTTTTCTACAATTTGCTTCCAAATATAAATGGTCTAACATAACATATGACAGATTACTAAAGTTTATTACTTTAAGTTAATTTTTCAGAGCAGTTTTTTTGAAGTCAAATTTTTAAAAATAAACTTCAATTCAAATTATCTGGTCGATTGCTCATTAGTTCTATTGAGAAACCAAAAAAAATTGTAAGCATCTTGTTGATCAGAATCTGAAGGGCAGAAAGAGGATATAGTGAGTTTCTACTTTGTAGTAAAGTTTTTCCTGTGTATAATTTATTGATTCATTTTGCCATGTATGTTGGATGCTTGAGATTCTCTGCAAATCAAATAACTGGTTATTTCATACTTGAACTAATTAATTAAAATTTCTCATAAGATAGTTGATTTATTATTTTCAATAAAATGAGGTTTACCTGTTGGAAAGCTTGATTTATCATAGACTTCAAGAATGGTGAATGCTTGTGATCTACAAGTAGATTTCTATATTTATTCATTAATTATAAATTTTAATGTTTTCATATTATAACCGCTAAATTTTCTGATTGAAATCACTCCTCAACTGATTTTCGATTGAGTTCAAAAACTAAATTATTAATAATTGTCATATAAATTTGAAAGAGTATCGTCGATGCTAGAGTATTGTCGATTCTAGAGTATTTCAATTATTGTTTTTAATCAAACAACTTTTGTTCTTTTGAACAAACAAATTTCTTCAAATAATTTTCAAAACAATTTTTCTTTTATTTATCCTTGCGTTATAAGTTTTCTCAATTCCTTGTGGTTCAATCTCGGAATTTCGAGTATTATATTACTTCGCAACAACTTATACTTTAGTGATCAATTCTTTTGTTGTAGCAATGTATTCTTTCCAACTCCACTTTAATCACTTCAATTAAACATATGCATCAAAAATTATTCCCATTTTACGAAAACTATGTCAAATTGATCGATTTCAATATTCTTTTTTCTTGGCTTGTTACTTTCACTTCTTTACCTTGATTTTCAAACTCTTATTCTCAACCACCNAAGTTTCTTTCACTTCTTTACCTTGATTTTCAAACTCTTATTCTCAACCACCATAATGACATTCCTAACTTGAATCATGATCATATAATAATGATCATTAAACTCTTCAAGTTGTCCTTTTATGCACATAAAACCGGCAAAGTTGTTGAAGAAGTTTCTCATGTCATACTCTTCAACTACCTTAATCCACATGTATCCATGATTCTCATTCTCTTCATGTAGGTGCATCTTCTTATAGTCGATCGTCCTATTTAGCCTTGTTTACTCTTCTTTATTCTTTGCATCTTTAATCATCACATCTTTTCTTTTGGTTCTTCATACATAATGTATTACATTGAACATCCAAGCTTTCTCATCTTGTGTCAAACCTATGCAACACTTTCAACCAAGTTCACAAGAAGATGAGATGATTCATTAGTGAACCAATGTTGGTTTGCTGATATTTGTCTATATGGGTAGTATACATGGATTTCGGGTGCCAAGAAACTAATAGGTCAATATTCGAANGCCAAGTTCACAAGAAGATGAGATGGTTCATTAGTGAACCAATGTTGGTTTGCTGATATTTGTCTATATGGGTAGTATACATGGATTTCGGGTGCCAAGAAACTAATAGGTCAATATTCGAACAAATCTCTTGAGTGGGGGTAAGGTTGATGCAAAAGTACATGGAGTTTATGCTTTTGAAAAAATAATCCGAAAAAAATAAATTTATGAAATTTTGTTCAAAACAAG